GCCCCTCTTCCTGCCTGTGCACATGCACATTTTCTTTCTCTAAAATAAATAAAATCTTTAAAAAAGAAATTTTGCTTTCTATGAGTGTAAAGATAGTTCTAGAATACCATGAAGAGATTAGTCCTAGCTTTAAAAGGTGTATGATGGCTCTGTTCTAATAATAAAAATGTACTGCAAATAACACTCAAACAGATGCTGTTTTAAGATAACAAAATTAAAAACAAAAATTAAATATGCTAAGTATGTGTCCTTGAAGTAAGCCATCTCTACTATAGAAAATAGTAGAGTAGAAATGGAAATAAGTAGAAAATAGAGTAAAAATGAATGAATTCATGAATAAATATGAAAAGAAAGAAATGTAAAAAGTGGTAGACATACTTAATTTCTGCCTGATCTTGACTGTAAAATGAATAACCAGAATGTGTATGCATATATGTTCACCATGTCCCATATTAATTCATACTGGAAATAAACCAATTTATGTCAGTTAGCAACCTTGGAAATGGAAGGAAGAGGCTGGCTCGTATCTCCCTGACCCTAAATTTTTTGGTTATATCTTTCTCTGTGTCTCTGTAGACAACCTGTTTTTGCTGAATTCACTCAATTCGCTTTATGAACTCAAAGTAGTTTGACTAAGATCGGAAAGATGCAGTTGAATGTCGTCAGGGAACAGATGCCAAATAGCTGATGTATCTTAAATGAACTGGTCAATTTAATCAAAATTATGGTCACCCTTCTTTCTTACAATTTCATTAGTTCCCTGCAGGAATCTTCATAGTATTCTTCAGATTCTCCCAAATTCCTATAGCAAAATTTTGTGAGTAGCAAACCGTAGTGTGGATTCAAGAGCATGAATTTTAATTCCGGGACACCAACCAAAAGTATCTGAAAGAACACTTGACCCTGACTTTATTGTAAAGAAACCTCCCTGGTAGGAGGAGACTTCCACTAACAATGATGGTTCCTTGCAGGGGATTGGGCAGGGGTGGGATTATACCTAAAACTCCATTATGAAGATCCAGACTTTTGGAGTCCTGTTTTTTGAGCAAACCATATTATTTCTGTTTAATATTATGCTTGCCTTACTGGTATATGAATTATCATAACATATTTATATTTAATAGTACATGAAAACATTTTTGGCAGATTATCTGCATGATGGTCAACATTGGATATTTACTGCAGATCCCTTGATGAAGATGTTAGGGAGAAAGCTTTGAGATTAGGGCAAAATTTTTTCCCTTTCTTCAAGATAGATTATGAATTTGGGAGAGTATTGCTGAAGAGAGACCTGAAGGGTTATATGTTAAAGTGTAAATTGGGAATTTCCAATGTCTTAATGACAGATAATAGGACTTACCATTGACTTTTTTTACACTACTTTATTGATGTATGATTGATATACCCCCCTCAAATATTTTAAACCAATCATTGGCTTTCAAGATACAAATATTATAAGCCTCTGAAAAGGGAGTTGAAGAAAGGTGTTGGGATGGAGCCCATAAGGGAGAAGACCACTTAATTCGGCTTAATGTGGTGCTTAGGGCAGAACTGGTGAAAAACTAGAGACTTACTAAAAGGAAACAAGGTAGAGAGATACTGAGAGGGCAAGTCAATTTCTGGGAAGTTACCAGGGAAACAACTATCATGAGATGCTTGTGAACCAAGCTAGGAGCAACTTCCTTAATCAGCTCCAGGCTGACAGAAAGCCAAGGTCCTTTTCAATTTTCTACTTAGCCTCAACTTTATTGAGAGAATACCTACATCAGTGAAAGGAGTGTCTTCTGAGAAAAAGAAAGAAAAAGCAAGGGCACCTGAGTGGCTCAGGTCATGATCTCGGGGTCCTGGGATCGGGCCCTGCATCGGGCTCCCTCCTCAGCAGAGAGCCTGCTTCTCCCCCTCCCTCTGCCTGCCGCTCCCCCCTGCTTGTGCTCTCTCTCTGTCAAATAAATAAATAAAAACTTAAAAAAAAAAAAAAAACAGTAAAGACCATCCTGCATGGGATTTTGATGGAGAAGGGTTCTTTCTTCCCCACTTCTACTGATTGGTGGTAAAAACGAATTCATACTCATCAACAATGAATTGGGAAACCAGCTGGAGGAGTCATTAATCTTCTTGATAGTATTTCCTGTCCTGAATGAGGTTATTTTGTTTTATCATATAGAAAATAGAAACATAAGAAATAAAAAGAGCATCATAGCAAGATTTGGTAGCAAAGGCAGGGATGCCTGGAAAGGTGCATAGCTGGAGATCGGGCAAGAGGAAATGAGCAAAGTGAGGAAGGTGATAATCCTCAGGCTAGCTGTAGGGAGAAAAGAGACTGGATCAAGAAGTTCTGGTTGGGGGTGTGTGTGGGGGGGTGGGTAGAGGTGTAACCCCACAGATGAACATGCTACTAATCGTCTTCCATCATGACTGTATGTGGGTGATGTTTTGACTTGAACATAAGGGTAGATGTAGGTTCCTAGGCCAGAGAACTAATTAATAATGCAAGGGTAAGACTAAAGGAGTCAAGTGGAATAGCCTAGAAATGTAGCATAAAAAGCACCCTAAGTCTAATTCCTCCACAATGAGGTCAGCATTGGATACCCTTCTCAAGTTCCCCTTTCTGACCCAAGGAAGGAGACCCAGCCTACCATTGGTTTCAGTCATTCACAGTGTTTGAACCCCAAAGTTTTCACTGAAGGTCATGGGTAGTGTTCTTTTTTAAAAGAGGAAATGTCTGAGCATTGTGCTGAAGAGAATATTGCCAGAGAAACAACCAGGGGAGAACTGCCATTTCTTTTGGGGATAATCCCCCTAGTGGTGAAATGCCTGGAAGCCCTCTTTTGGGAGGTTTCATGGCTTATACTGTCATATAGGAGAGAGTGTGTGTGTGTGTGTGTGTGTGTGTGTTAGAGGAAATATTTTTTTTCTAAGAGTATTGAGAGTTTAGGTAACTTTTTGATATAACTGGACATAGAAATAACAGATCTAGAACTCACTGCTATAGAGTCTGTGTTTATCCTCTGGGAAGTTGCTTGCTTGTTGCATTTCCGAGCCTCACATTGTATTGATCAAGGTAATGAGGTCTGTCATGTTAAATCCAGACTAATCCCAGAAAACCCTTTTGGTAGATGTTCTCCTTAGCCAGTCTTAAGTTGTGTGATTAAAACAGTGATTTTTGACATCAAAAACATGATATCTTGCCTTTGATTTAGAAGTTTGAAGAACAATATCTATAGGAGAAGCCTGGTTTAAAATCATTTGTCTTTGTAGCATTATCAGGTATCCAGCAGATGTCACTATTACAGTCTGTTCAGTTGTTGGCTTTACTGAATAATGTTCCGAGGAAGGCTCACTTTGGGAATAATGCGTTATCAATAATGACAGTTCCTATTAGTTTGCTGCTATGTATAGTACTAAATCAGGTTTCTTACCTGAGTATATTTTGTGGAAGTACCTTTCTCTATCTATAAGCATAAGATGCAGAAATTTCCTGGCTATATATTTGCCTACCTACAGGAAATACATATGTTTAAATAAATAAATGCACTTTATTTTTTACCATTAATGCTACTTATGTATTTAACTTTCAATATAAAAATAGGACTCAGATGATCTGTATTTGCTCACAATACTTCTGACATCAAAGGCATGGAGTTTTTTTCCCCTCACACCAACCAATTCTCCTACAATTCAGTTCACTTCTGATACTGTCTACCTGGAGTTAACATCAGATCACATAAGTTAGGGGCTTAGTTCCACAAGATTGCCCCCACTTCAGACACTAACTGCAAGTCCTAGGGTTCATCCACTGACCAAGTGGCTATAAAATGGGAGGTTTAGGGTCCCAATACCCCAAACTTGAGTTTAATAATTGGATAGGACTCAAAAAACTTGGGAAAACAGTTTACTGAGTATTACTGGTTTATTATAAAGGATACAACTCAGGAACAGCCAAATGGAAGAGATGCATAGGGCAGGGTAATGGGAAAGGGGGTACTGCCTCCTCTTACACTTCTCACAGGCTAAAAGTGTTCTGGACCTCATCAATTAGAGATTTTAATGGAGGCTCCATTACACAGGCATAGATGATTAAATTACTGTCAGTTGGTGATTAACTCAATCTCCAGCCCTTCTCACCTCCCTGGAAGTCCAGGGTTCAGCTAAAAATCCCAATCCTTTAATCACATATGTGGTCTCTCTAGCAACCAGCCCCATTCCCCAAGAGTTACCTCATTGGCACAAACTCAGTTATGGTTGAGGGGCTTATTATGAATAACAGAGGATACTCCTTTAACACCTGTTACTCATAATCCCATGGGTTGTTTAGCTCTTGTGCCAGAAATTGGTATGAAGACCAAATATATGTTTTTATTATATCACAATATCACAGATAATTTCTAGTGAGTCAGAATATTTCCTGATGTCATTCATAATTATATACTCCATTATTTAACTTCAAAATGTTCAGTGAACCATCAGTGAATGTCCTGATAACTTTTTCATAAAAGCTATTTTCAAAAGTGGTTAAAGATACATCTCTCTTATTTCGAAGAAAGAACATACCTGAATTTGGGTGCTGGTATTAGTTAGGATAAATGGCTAAAAGTGGCTTAAAGAACAAAGAAGATCAGTTGTCTTTTACGGAGGCATTTCAAAGTAAGAGGTTCATGTTGCAGAACAACTTTGTTCCATGCAGTCATTGGTCTCAAGAAGCCTAGTCAACTGTGTAGTTGAGGCTGGGTTGTTGGGAGGTCCAGCCAGCAATAATGGGAAAGAAAGCATGGAGGAGGCATGCTTGCTTCTGTAAGGTTGGGCTCCGAAGTCACCCACATCTTTCTACTCGCTCCTTTGTTGAGAATTGAGTTCCACTGCCTAACTGCAAGGGAGCTTTGGAAATTTGTTCATGTGCCTAGGAAAGGGGGGATGACGGACTTTGGTGGACAGCTAGCAGTGCTAGTGGTTTGTTGGTTTGATTGGCAATGACCAAACATGGTTCTTGCTGTCCTTTTCAGGAGGTGCACTCAGTGTACAGAATTTTGGCTGGGATTTTGAATATTGGAAGCATTGAGTTTGCAGCTATTTCCTCTCAACATCAAACTGATAAAAGTGAGGTGCCCAACGCTGAAGCTTTGGAAAATGGTAATTATTTGATGTCTGTGCACTGTGTAGCCAAAATGCATGTTTCTTTCACTTTGATAGTTTTCACTTTGGTAGTTTCTCAAGATGCCGTAAAATATAGTGTGGGTTTTTTCACTAAGTAGGATTCTCCAAAGGATGTCTTGTAGAACATCAGTATTCTTTTCATAAGCTGCAAATAAATGAAAAGAAATTCTATAGCAGGTAACTTCTAGCAATGGTGTCAACACGGCTACTTTTGAAAATCATCTACAATTTTTTGAAAAAATATAAGACGTAGATCCCTGTCTGAATCCACTGAATCAGCATCTGCAGGGGGATAAGCAGGCACCTATTTATTTTTAAGGTTCTATAGGTAATGTGACACAAGGAATGAGAATCCTGAGTTAGAAAAAAAGTGATTTAAATAAACACCCTTTGTGTTAAACTGCAGCATCTTTTACTGCCTTTAATAAACTACTGTGCTTTGTGACTCTTGAAAAGAATACAGTCCCTAGCTATCTGACCAAAGCCCATCATCTCCTCTCACTTTTTCTCATCAAATACCCGTGAAGAGCTTTCAGAACTGCTTGGGAGATACTGTGTCCATCTGGATACTTCTTGGGGTTAGGGACCTGGCTTATTTACTTTTGCATCTGAAGTGCCTAGGCAGAGCCTAGGACATTATAGATGCTGAGTCAGTGCTGGCTGGCTGGATGGCTGGCTGGATGGCTGGCTGGATGGCTTGCTGGCTGGCTGGATGGATGGATGACTACATTCTCTGGTGTCATCCTTACCTTTTATTGCAGCTGCCTCCGTTCTCCGCATCAGCCCTGAAGAACTCCAAGAGGCCCTTATCTCACACTGTGTGGTCACCCGCGGTGAGACAATCGTCCGAGCCAATACTGTCGACAGGGCTGTGGATGTCCGAGATGCCATGTCCAAAGCCCTGTATGGGAGGCTCTTCAGTTGGATTGTCAATCGCATCAATACACTCCTGCAGCCAGATAGAAACATATGGCAAGTTCCCTCAGGAAGCAGAGGCCTTGGGAGAGCTGTCAGCGACCCCAATGTCTCTCAGAGTTTGCAAGAGGAAGCGTTCGGTCCTCTCCTGAGTTTTCTTTAATGAAGCTCTCAGGTCTTTTCCTCTAAAAGGAGAATGGGATCCAGGAGAATGGAAAAGGCACATGACTGACAGAGCTATTATAGTGTAATGTTGAAGAGAACAGGCTTGAATGGGAGCTGGCAAACTGGGTTTGCATTTCAGCTCTACGCTTTGATCAGCCCCCATATTCTAAGTCACTGTTTTCTCCTCTGTAAAATGAGGATAATAATATCCTCCTTATAGGGTTGTTTTTAGAATGAGACATTTCATGAAAAGTTTTAAAGCACGGGATCTTGTAATATTATTGCTGCTACTACTACTTTTCTTTCCTAAGCATTAGTGGTTTCTGTATTCTGGAAAAACTGAGAGCATCAAATTCTAAAGAATATTCTTCCAGTTAAGCCTAATGGGCGGGAAGGTCGAAGAATGAATGGGCAGCAGTTCTAGCCTCTTCGAACAGAGTGGTTCCTCTCTAATCTCTATCTGGAGCTTCTGAGTGAGATTTTAAAGGATTCTACTGCTTTAAAAAAAAGTTGGAAATACTGTTGAGAGACTGAAGGAATGAATGGTTTCAGACACAAACTGTTTCTTCCTAGAGGCAGCTGAATGCTGCTTTTCTGTAAGTGGGTGCATATATTGGTAAACACGTGGGCACATATATTTTCATCATCTTGAGATGAATGTTGCCTTCCCTAAAAGGCTGTTTTCTTCTCTCCCATGCAGTAATGCAGATGATGGTATGAATGTAGGGATCTTGGATATTTTTGGATTCGAGAACTTTCAGAGAAATTCATTTGAACAGCTCTGCATAAACATCGCCAATGAGCAAATCCAGTACTATTTCAACCAGCATGTTTTCGCTCTCGAACAGGTAATAGTGAACTCTGAAGTAATTAAACCTGATGGGTAAGGTGTCTCCAAGCTGCCCACAGTTTGAAGCAGGAACCCTGTTAGGCTAACAGGTAAAAGATCCTAAGGAGAAACCACTGGTGAGACAGTCCTGTCAAAATAAATAGCGTAAATTTAGCCAGAGAAAAAGTCTTGATTTCTGTGGAAAGTTACATTTCCTCACTTGAGTGGAGCTGGTGACAAGCCAGTTATTTAAATGTTGCTTCCAAACTGTTTCATCACACTGTCCAAAATGCTACGTTCTCTTCTACTTTATTTGACTAAAAGCATCTGTGATTGTGTCCAGCATGACACAGGATGATCTTGAATTCAGGGCACAGGTTCTTGTTCTTAACTCCCAAATAGGTCATTCCCACCCCCGCCCCTACACACCAGATCCCACAGTAACTTGGGAGTGGGGATGTCTCCAGGGAGGAGTAGGTTATGTTCTTGGTTTTCTCCAAATGGAAGTCTTTCCCTTATGAGTTTAATGATAAATAAAACAGGGTGTGACACTCATGTGTCCAAAGGCTAGGAGGCCTTCCCCTCCACCCCAATTTCTACTCCAACCCCAAGACTTTATGCTGTATGAAGTAGTGCAACAATGAAGCATTCTGACTGGGCCCTTTGTTTTAGAAGTGAAGACACACACACTGTACCGTGATTACATAAACACAAAGATATGGAGTAAAGATATCAGTATTGGTTTTATCAGTGGAACTGGATAAACCTGTATCACCCTCCTCCTCCCCTCCCACCCTGTACAAAACTCGACCTCCTTTCACTCAAGGCTCCTTGCATTCATTTCCCCGGGAAGTCTGGAGTTTTCTAGTTTTCCAGTCTGATGATTCCCTTTGCAGAATCCTTTGTAGAAGGTAGAAGTCTGCTTTCTTCCTGGTTTAAGCCATATTTATCACCAAAATAATTTTTTTCAGCTTCCCTTCAATTCCATGCCAGTTTCTAAATTACGACTTACCAATTTGGTGCTTGGGAGACAACACTGTCCCTTCTTTGGCTGCTTCAGCTGTCTGCCACAGGCTGCCTGTAGGTCAGACCCAAACCCAAGCTTCAACAGTGGGGTATGCAGAAGAGTCTCTTACTCACATACAACTGCCTGTTTGCCACATACAGTCAGCATTGCCAGATATAGAAAGTGCGTGCCGAAGCAGCCTTGTGCTACCCAGGCCAGGGTCGGGCTGGAGAGACTCACAATCTGTTTCCCTCCAGATGGAATATCAGAATGAAGGCATTGATGCTACCCCCGTGGCGTATGAGGACAATCGCCCACTCCTGGACATGTTCCTCCAGAAACCCCTGGGACTGCTTGCGCTTTTGGATGAGGAAAGTCGATTTCCCCAAGCAACTGATCAGACCCTGGTTGGTGAGTGTCTCTTGGAAAAGGCATAATATACTCAGGAGAGAACTTGGTTCATTGGTATTTTAACTTGGTATTCTGGCCACCTGGTAGGTTATGCAAGTATAGACCCTGTTTTTAATGAATTGAAATCTTCAGCAAATGTCCTGATAGATTTGTGTCTGGAAGCAAACCCATCACCAAGCCCTCCTCACTTTCCTGTTGCTGCCAATATCAGTTTTATACCTTCTTCTCCCTTATTTCCTATAAGCAGCTCTTGCTTCCCCTCCTTTTCATACCCTTCTCTCATATCTTTGCTTGGACCCCACCTATGTCTAGTCCAGGTTTGTATAGAAGACCCTTCTGGTCTCCTGGATCTAGGTTTCATACTTATCCCCTCTACCCTAAACATCCCAGCTAATTTAGTCTTTTTAAAGCCACCTTTTCATTAGGTTGCTGTTGTCTATAGGATGCCAATAAGACACCTCCTCCTGGCATTAAAGGCCCTCTACACTCTATCCCTGTTCCTCTTGACCTTCTCTAATCTTCAGTGTTGCACACCATCTCATCCCTCACTTAGATTGTGAGATATTTAGAGCAACAAAGCCCCAGTCTTTGCATCCCTTTAGTACTTAGCATGGTTCTTCACACAGAGTAGGCCCTCAGTTACAACAATAGCAAAAATTGTTATTGAGGGAAGAACAGAAAGTTTCAAGCCTTTTCCCCAGATAGGAAATTGATTGGTGGGAGAGAGTCCCTTCTAGGAGTTGAAATTGTCACCCTTGGCGGTTTCCTTTTACCTATAAAGTCATCAGAAGTTGCCACAATAAGTTTATACCAGGGCTGTTTGCCTTCCATGGGATATCTTCATGGTTCTAAAGCTAATTGGCCAGAGTTCTGGTGTCATCAGTGTCCAAGCTTGGAGTTCTGAGAATGAGAGATCTTAGGGCATAGCCTGACACTAAAGACAACATGAAACAACTAAACAAAATTTGATTGTAAGCTCATGTCAACGGGGCATTTTTCTCCATCTTTGTACCTACAATGATAACATCAGGCTGCCCTCAATATCCCTTATTCTGGGTCACTCCTGGCTCAAGGAGCACCTCTTTGTTTGAAGGAGTCAGCAGTTCTCCTTGTAACTTTTAAACCTGACAATCCACACAGATAAATTTGAAGATAATCTACGAAGCAAATACTTCTGGAGGCCTAAAGGAGTGGAGCTGTGCTTTGGCATTCTGCACTACGCTGGGAAGGTAAGGCAAGTGTGTGTCAGTAAACCTGAATTTGACAAGGGTAGGTGTCCATATTACCCTGTCGGTGCTGCTCACAAAATGGCTTGCAGATTTCCTTCTCCTTTTAATTCTCTGCGAACACCTAATTGTAATTCCCAAACTTTCTCAGTGGTGCTGCTCACAGAAAGTCGCCCTTAGCGAGAAAGCCACTTCTTGCTGGGGTGGCCGTGGTGTAGCCATCTGCCACTCACCTGAGCTCTGGCCTGGAAGTGACAGCTCTCCGGAGGGAAAACATAGTATAGCGCTCACAGTGGTTAGCCGTGAATGTGCACATTCTGAAGTCATTGGGAAATGTGTAGCTAACAGAGGAGGGTTAATATCACAGTGGGGCTCGGTTTTTAGCACTTTAACTATATGTGTCTACAGGACACCAAAAATGTCTAGATAAAAAGGGAAACAAATTCACTTCATCATCCAGATGTTAAGCTTTTATAACACTAACTGAAATTTCCACCTTTCATAACTTACGCCTCAGTCGCATTTCAAGTTCCCGAAGCAGAGTGGTGACTAATTCAGGAAATTCTCTGGTTCTGCAGCCAACAACTCATTGCTCGAGTTACTCTCAAAGGAGTCATTGGAATTATGGCTAATTGGTTCTGGTTCTGCTGAGGACCTGGGACCAAAAAAAGGGTAGGAGTTCAACAAAAGGCATTTGGGATTATTTTGTTGATTTAAGATTTATTGAAAGTATTTTTTATATTCATATCATGGTATTGAAATTAATTTTGCCTGACTGGAGGTTAGTTGGAGGGCAATTCTAATATAAGTAAAGAGGATTATTTTTCTCTCCACATAGTGCATACTATCTATTTTGGATCTTTGTTAGAAATTGCAACCCAGTTTTTACCTTTAAATACTTCATTCACCTTAGCACTGATGTCTGACCATATATTAATGTCCTCCACATCTGGGATACCCACGTCTATCCTGAGCCCCGCCCCCCCATTCCTGTCCTCTTCCTTGCACCTCCCTTTCTGTCTCTCTGTCCTTCTATACCAATTTCCTATTCACCCATCTTCCCTTTCTCTCTCTTCTCCTTTCTTGATTTTAAGGGGGAAAAAAGGATTGTTTTCTTTCTGGGCTCAGTGTCCTTTCCTGAATTCGTTCTTTCTCTGGCATGTTCCTTAAAATTTCTCTGACTTGGATCCCTTCCGTTGTGAGAACTGAAAATGGCTCCGCATCCCTGAGCCATCACTCATGTGCCGTGAGTAACTTGGGGAGCAACGACAGTAGAGTGGTTATGAGCAGGGAGCCCAAACTGCCCGGGTTTGGAAGCCTGCCTGCCACTTGTGAGATTTGTCACCATGAGAATATCACTCAGCTTCTCGCTGAGTCTCTGCCCACCAGTATAACGGAGATAGTTAATAGCATTTACCGTATAGGACAGGTGCTTTATGCAGAGTGACCAATATATAGTGCCCAGTTTATTTTCATAGTTATTCTCACATGATAGATCTTTGATACGCCTCTTTTCTTCAAAGAGCACCTGAACAAGAAGTTAAGATAAATTGGCCTGTCAAAAATTACAGTTTTTCCCTCCTTATCTCATGGTCTGCGTTTAGAGGCATGGCTGTGTCCAGATAAAGTCTCTACACAGGTCGATGAATGACTGACCTCAGACAGCTTGCCAGTGTCGCCAGCAATGGATGATATCAGCTAGTTTGCTATTTGCTGTTCATGTTGCAGGTATTATACGATGCTTCTGGGGTTCTTGAGAAAAACAGAGACACTCTCCCTGCTGATGTGGTTGTGGTCCTGAGAACGTCAGAAAACAAGCTTCTGCAGCAACTCTTCTCGATTCCTTTGACCAAAACAGGTATGTGGAGCCCCGACCTCCCTGGGCCTGATGCTTCCACAAGCACTGCTGGAGTTTCCTTGTTCATGTCTCAATACTGCCAGGACTACGGTACTCCTCCCGTGTGGGACTTTAAGCAGGGGTACAGGTCTATCCAACTGCAAACAAAGGAAAGTGATTGTTTCTTTCGCAATTTAATTGCACATCATCAGTGTATATGCACTGTGTACACACACTTTTTATAACATTAACTCTTAGACTTCTCATTTTCTCTGCTTGCCTCTTTCCATTCTTCCATTTATAAAACCATAAGTTATCATTAATTCATGCTAAGCACTCTAGGGTGGTCTCAGTTTACCTAGAATTTTTGGGGGAAGATTATTTCTGTTCACATATGATTCTAAGTGAAGGGAATGTGGGAAATCCAAAGGTCATCCAGTCATGGGGTCCTCAGAGGTCACCTGGTCCAACTCACTACCCAGTCAGTGACCCCACCCCCCACTCTCCTAACCAACTTAGAATAGGTCCATCATGGCCTGCATGCCTGGCCTTTGCCCTCTCACAGCCTCGTTTTGCTTAATGGCTTCTGTTTAGCTGCACTGTCAGTTCTTATGAGAAGAATTAGAAAACTAGGGCCAAAGAACAGAACTTCCCTGTCTTTGCTGTTTTGCCAAATAGATTCCCATTTGGTCAACCTGGGATCTGCTACCTTTGGCCGAGTAGCCCACTAGGTCTTCTCACAACTTTCCTCTCGAGGGCGTTATGTGCTGAGGGTCTGTCTGGAAACAGCTGTGGGTATGCTTTTATGAAAACTGGAGGAGAAGCCTCTTTGTCATTGTTCATTATTTCCTTTTCTTTCTTCCCACTCCCTCTTGAAATCATTGGCACCCATGTCTAGCTTGGGGCCTTTCTATGCTAAAAGGGAGTGGCTGCCAGGTCTGATTTTTAGCAACATGCAGAGGAATGAAAAACTTGGCTAAGAAAAAAGCCACAGTCTACAACCTTTGCTTCATCTTAACTTGGGAAGAAAGTTGAAACCAGTTCTTAACTTTCTTCAAACATGCTCTTTAAACAAAAATAGTAGGGTGCCCATGAGAAAGCTGCCTCCACCTTTCTTTCCAGACACCTCCCTTGGGCAGAGCCAGGATTTGATTTATTATCTCCTTATGAAGATATTTACCCTCAAACCTTGGTTCTAAAGAGATTGTGCATCCTACATTGAAGGTCAGAATATTAATCAAGCTTCTAAATTTTAAAACATCTATTTTTGGTTTTAATGTATTACAGCCTTTGAAGGTGGGAGAATTTTATTGGACAGAAGTAGTTTGTTTTGTTTTTGCTGAAATTATAAATACTTGTTTCAGAGTGGCCAGATGTGAGCAGGGCTCCCTCACCAGGCACTTAGGTCTTATCAGGAAACTTATGTGCAGGGGCAAAGATACACTCATTATTAATACCCCTAATATGTACTCTTTGAAGTGAAATCTGTCCAAATGACTTGTCAGTTGGCATTTACACTCTCTCGTAAATATGAGTAACGATTTGTCAAATCTGTTCACAACTTTGGAATTTCCAATTTTTCAGGGGTTGGCAAAATAAAAACAATTTCGCAGCCTGGGCCACTAGGTGGCGCGATGCAAGAAGTCAGACTTCTGCAGCAAGCCTTGTGTTTGCCCTTGATTGCCTAAATGGGGAGGAACAGGAACAAAGAGATAGCCTCTGCTTTTTTTTTTTTTTTTTAATGCTTTTTGCTTTTTGCTTTTCCCTGAAAGAGCTTTCCTCCTGTCTTGTAACTCTTTGTGAATCTTGCCTTCCAACTGTATTCCATACCTCCTGGAGGAAACAAAAGTGAAAAAGAAGACTGGAAACAAACATATTTTCCTAACAAGCTTCCTTGTATTCCTGAGTTGATATGGTATATGATAATTTCTTTTGAAATCCTAAGTTTTATTTTCTCCACATTTTGAGTATAATTTAGAAGCCACAAAAACACATCAAAACTAATAAGCATGATTCTATTTTCTTTTTCTGAAATTATTCATATAAAAATGCCTTCAATCAACATTTATAGAACAGCTTCTAATAATAAGACACCGTTTAGGCAGCAAGGAGGAGATAAAGATAAAATGGCTTTGCCCTAAAGCAACGGGAACTTTCCTTTACCTTCACTTTTCTGTCTAGAATTTATGTCCTTATGATGATATTTACCCTCAAATATCAGTTCTTCAGAGATTGTGCATCCATTGTTGAAGGTCAGAATATTAATTAAGATTCTAAGTTTTAAAACATCCATATTCTGTATTTTTTGGTTTTAGTATATTCCAGCCTTTGAAGGTGGGAAAACCTTACTGGACAGGAATAGTTCGTGCTATTTTTACTGAAATTGTAAATACTCATTCCAGCACATTTCTCTTATGAAAGCAGATGTGGTTGTACATCTCAGCATTCTCGCTGGAAGCAAGGTCCCTCACATCCTGGCATTTTAAAAAGAGTATGCCGATATTTTCAGTGCATGAGAAGCCATTTTCTTGGTTGTTTTTATTTTTATTTTTTACTCTGTTTTGAACCCTTAAATTCTTGTCTTATTAAAATTAAATGGGTCACTAGTTCAATGAGCGTAAATAGATATGGGTAGTTACTTTACAAACTTCTTTAGGAGATGAACTACAGAGAGGAAGGAAAAAAACCAAAGTTGGGAAGCTTGGGAAGCTGTTAGCCCCAGACTTTGAAAAGAGGTCCATTGTTGGACTCCTCAGTTTCGAGTGAAGAGAACTCTATGGGATATTGGCACTGCTCTGGCTCGTGGTCCTCATGGTGGTTATGTGTTACAATATCTGTTATGCTGTACATGTTTTGCAAACTTTTCTGTACATGCATTCTATTTCACAATAGCACTTTTATTTTCCAAAAGAGAGAGGAGATCTTAAAATGCAAAGAGAAACTTTCTTTATCTAAGATTTCCTGTTCCCTTAAGTTGAGGTTTCCTGGTAGCTAGACTGTTGCAGCCCTTGGCTTTCAAAGGCAGGCATCAGAGAGCTCCTGGCTGACATTCCTGTTTGTTTAAATCAGCCTCCTCTCTGGGCTGCTGGGCAGGTAACAATCCCTTCATTAGTGTTTATAAAACAGAAGTATTGGTTCTTGGTCTAATCTCTTAATGAGGTTGAGAGGATTAACCTCTGTGTGTCTCTGTGTAAAACCATAATATAAAATCAGAGAGAGTAATCCAGTTGACATTTTCCTGTTTCCTGTACCCACCTTCCTGTTCATGTTGTACATCCCCAAATACCGAAAAGGTTAAAAAAACGTGGGGTGTGAAGTCAGGAGGCGCAGGGTCATCGGGAGATAGGGCTTCTCCGAAATTTCTGTAGCCCCGTGAGCAGCAGCCCCTTCTTCTGGCACGCAGCTGCCTGCTCCCACTCCAGGGTACTCACTGGCCATCAGGTGCTCGGAGGCAGCTCAGACTTATGGGACCGCTCTCTTGCCTCTAGATGGGCCACTTCAGACGTGGTGAAATTTTCTTTGTAATTTTCTTCCTATTGATAGGAAGTTCTCTGAAGATTTCATGCGTGAAAATTTGATGTGGCAGCAACATTGCTTTCTAAATCTTCAGCTGGGACTTTTCATACTGCATGATCTAGGTAGAAAAACATTAAAAGGAAAGATGTTATAACAAGGTTTTATCGCATATTTTCTTGTTTGGGGGACGTTCCACTTGCTACTAATAAACTAGAGAAAAGTTCAAAAGGCTCAAGGAAACAGAGAAGAGGTTTCAAAAAGAACTTGAAAAATCCATTTCTGTCTTTGAATTGTGAATTCTGACTTCCAAGTAAGGGTTTGGGGTTTTAAAAGAGTTCAGAACTTGGAAGAAACTAGAAAAAACAAGACCAGTGCCAGAGGGAATATTCTACGAGCCTCCAAGTCTGGCTTTGCTTCAGAATCTAGAACTGAGTTTGGCTCTATTTTCTCCTGCCCAAGCTCTCCCAGGTAGTTTCCCTTGGAATTTCTTTGAAGTGAAAATCAACAGTAAATTCGCTTTATCTTGACTTCCACTGGTTCTTCTTTTTATTTGGATGGGGGAGGGGCAAGATGAGCCCCCTCGTTGTATCTGTAAAATACTAACACCATCACTGCTGAAATACTTGATGTTGCCTGTTCCTGATTCTGTCACTCCCCAAATTCAGCATTCAGCTCTTAAGAGGATGCCTTTTGGTAACTGTCTTTGGGAGTTTTCATTTTCCACTTATGGTTTCTCCTCCCTACCGGCAGTTCAGAAAATGGGTCTAGCAGGATGAGCTGACTCTAAATGACAAGGTTCCAGGGTCACAGACATGGACAGTGCTTGCCTCCTCCTGAAACAGCAGCTCTAATGAGCCAACCCTGTCAGGAAGCCCCGAGGGGTGAGTTCCTCAAGCAGAGACCTGCTTCTTTCTATTTAATTTGAGTGTATTTCAGTCAGTAGATAATTATATATTTAGGGTCTAACTAGATGTTGTGTTGTGCATAGATGCTTTCTAGAAGGAATAAAAGAAAATCCCAATTTGAATAGTCAGGGACAGACAGTGCGTATCCTAAATGTATAAAGTATGCACAAAATAGTGTAAATTCTGAATAGGCATGTAAGTCAATAAATGGGGACAATGTAAGCATTGTGTCTGTATAAGTAAAAATAGAGGGAAAAGTCATGGAAATATGTGTCCGTATGGGATAAAACTTCTTTTAATTGTAAAGACTTCTTGGAAGAGTTTTTTAAAATTTATTTTTATTTTTATTATTTTTTTAAGATTTTATTTATTTGAGAGAGAGCACGAGCAAGGGGAGAGAGCGGCAGAAGGAGAGGGAGAGGGAGAGGGAGAAGCAGGCCCCCAGCTGAGCAGGGAGCCCCACACGTGGGGCTCGATCCCAGGATCCTGGGATCATGACCTGAGCTGAAGGCCACGCTTAACCGACTGAGCCACCCAGGCGCCCCGGAAGAGTTTTTTCTCTTTGTGGTTTTGTTTGTTTATTTGTTTTAATGGAGAGTA